AGATGTTCTCCCTTTAAAAAATAAAAAATAAAAAAGCAGGAGAAGAATAAATTTTCTTTGTGTAGCACTTTTCAAGAGTCACTTTAGAGGGCACAAGATATGAACAGAAACAAACAAGTTGAATAAAAAGCAGGTATAGAAAGTGTCAAACAGATGAAACAGGTGAGTTTTTAGGAGGGATTTGAATGTGTGGAGGTCAGCATTCAGTGACATGTTGAACATTTAGGTTGTGATTTAAAAGAACTGCAAAACTTTTATTTATATTGGGATTAGAGCAACACATGCCGAAAGCAGAACAGATTCTCTTGGTCGTTTTTGCTTCTTATTACCAGGAACCAGGTGCTCCTGACGTTTTATAGCTTCATGGATGCTGAAAAAAATCCAACACCCTTCCTGTGTTGTCTCATAAAGCAGTTTCATTTCTAACCGTAAATAAACAGAGTGGGATACAGCGCACACCAACACGTTTGTTTGTTTGTTTCTGTGATTTTTTTCTCTCTCTCTTATCATTTAAGGTATTAGCTCCATAAATATCACCTACAGCCTCTGTAATCAGGAAGCAAACATGTCCTCATGTCTTCCTAGAAGTGATATGAGCCCTTGTCAGGACATTTCATCGTTGAGATGCGATTGGACAATGATTCCTTTTCCAATAACAGGTTTATGGCCTCACAATATATCAAGAACTGGACTTTGGATCCCAGACTGCGTCCTTCAAAGTGTGCCAGAAGATAGTGATCAACAACAATCAGAAATCCTAAAAGTTCACACGTCTTGAAGTTTGTCCAGTTAATCGCAGCCCTTTGGAGACGTCCATCCACACAGGCAGCATGATTTGGTTGCTGCAGTCTGAGATTAAACACAGCTGTCGTGTCTAAAATGTTGGTGAAACTGGTGTCTCTGCTATGACAACCAGCACTTCTGTCTTTTCCTTTCTAACCAAAGGTCACAGTCATAAACACGGGATTTTATGACCAGCGGTCCACGTTTCACTCCACCCATGAAGGTAACTCGCACGCAGAGTCTTCAGAGGATCACAGGGTCTTAATCTGTTCCTGAGGCTTCATCGGAGCTTTAGAGAAGAGACTTAGATCGAACAACCGGAATAATGCCGTCCACTAAGAAGACTCTGCATTTCGTGTCCAGCGCGCTGCTCACTGCCATCTCCGTGGGGCTGCTGGGATATGCCATGTCAACAGACTGGGTCGTACTGGAGATGGACTGCGACAGAGAAGTAACCGGGAACTTCAGCGGGAGTGCCGAGATCACGTTGCAGCTTTTCAATGGGGAAATGGTCAGAAACATGTGTCCCAACTTTGGAAGTGAAGATTCATTTCAAGGTAATTTTCCAAGGGCCAGTTAGAAATAGAAAAAAAAAACCCAAAATGTACTTCACGGGTTTGACATCTATGAGATGTCCGGCCTACAAGCAACACTGAAAAACACAGGAAAAGTCAGTTTAAATAGCTAAACAGCAGCGGTGCCCTGTTACTGTGGATGATGTCAAATTTATTCTCTTAGAATTAAGATATTCAAGGAAGCCTGCTGCTGCTTGGGGAGGTTCCTGAAAGAACGTTAAATAGCTCAGTTCAGAGACGGGCTGACTGGAGGAAGCTCTGATAAAGGTTTTTGTGTTGTGTGTGTGTAGAATTAGATAAATGTGTGTTTTTTAGAATCTATTTTAAGTTAAAAATCTAGTTTTACTGTAATGAACTGCAGAATTTTAAACTGTGTGTAATACAGTAAACCAACGACAAGCAAGATTTTGACAATTTGTTTTTAAAAAACATGCTAAAAAATAGTTATTTCAGGAACTGTTCTGCCAATATATTGACTATTTTGAGCAAATTAGGGTTTTTTTTATCTGACCCTCTTGAGTGCCTTCCCCCTGTTTGCCTTTCTCTCCATTTTATACATCTACAGTATTGTCCTTTTTTTTTTTTCTTCTAACGTTTAGGGAAAAGAAAACCCTATTATAACAATTAGGTCCACAAAATGGTTATTCAAAGAACTTTTCTTTCCTTGAGGCTTTGCTACTTCTAAGCTAAGCTCCAAAGAAGGAACTCAGGAACTGATACCTTAAAACTAAAGCAAATAGATGTAAATAAGGAAAAGGCTTTTTTTTTCTGTTTTGGAGGGGAACGGATCCTTTAAGCCCAGACATATGTTCTGCACATACACCAATGCACTAAGAGGTATCCTACATATAATAGCTTCACCAAACGCTGCGTAATAGATTTCTACGTTATATAACTATGATATTCCTGCGTACGTGTGTTTGCAGTGATTCCGGCGCTGATGGACACGACCAACTCTGCCCCTGGGATCCTGCACGGTCTGGTTGTGTGCTTCTTGGCCTGCTGTCTGCTGTTTTCTGCCGGCAGCATCCTTATCTCCCTGTACAACAGCGTCAGTAACCCTTACCAGACCTACATGGGGCCTGGCGGAGTCTACGCCTGCAGCGGTCTCTGCGGTAAGTGACAAAGATTGTTAGAAGCAGCAAGGAGTGAAAACGCACGTACATGACTGTTTGGGTATAAATGTGACTTTTTCTTTGCAGCCTGCACGGCCCTGGTGGCCCTCGTCATATTTGTGGTGAACGTCATCGCGACCCCCATGGCGGAGAGCTTGGTGCAGAGCTTCTCCCAGGGCATCCCGACAGAGCTGAGAAACAAGAAATCAGAGATGCGCACCGGAGTCTACCTGGTCGTCCCTTACATCGTGTTGTCTCTCGCCGCCATCGGCTCCATCTACAAGTACGAGCACGCGGCCTACACGCACCGACGCGAGCAGCAGAGGCCCACGGAGGACGCGCCAAAGGAGATCATGATGTATTAGTGGGATGGAGCCAGATTTCTCTGCTCATCCAGACTTTCTGAAGAAACTTACTGAAAACGGGCGATCGCAGATTGGACGTGTGTACAGTTATGGATGTGCAGGCATTCCAAAAAAAAGAAAAGAAAAGTTTGATCAAGCATTGTCACGTGTGAGGAGCACATGTACGATACAAGCGTCAGCATTTTAATCTGATATAAAGTCAGAATTGATTAGTGCAGAAATCAGTTTTGGTGCGTTTGATGTGAAATTACATTCCTTATTTATTCTGCTCGTGAACAATCTGATGGTTTTTTTTGCATTTGATGTGATAAAATTTTAGTCGTTCGATTCTACTCAGATCATCACCAAACAACAAATCAGCAGTAGCTCTTAAATTCAGGGACTTTTTTGTGCTTTTTTTGTGTCTGAAACAACAATTTGCATCAAATAAGTGAACAGAAATAAACATATAAGACTAGAATGGCTCCTAAAAGGACAGATTTTTTACAACTTTTATCTGTATTCTGGTGATTGAATGCCATTTGTTTGCTAAAAGGATGGAATACAAGAAAGTTGTATAAAGCAGTCATGTGTAAATTCAGTGTTAAGGTTAGTTGTAAATGAAAAAGGAGGAAGGGACACATGGGATTCTGGGATTCACTGCTGTCTGCTGCCCTCTGTCTCTGACATGATGTAAATACAAAGAGACGTCTGATTGAATGTGAAGTTTGTCTGGTTCCCAGGCTGAGCAATAAAAAGCAGAGAACGATTGTGATTTCTTCTGTCTTTCATCAGCTACCCAAAAGGGTCACTGGAGGAATTTTTTTCAGAGTTATTTCCGAAAAGACAGAGCAAAATGAATCTCAGGGAGGGAGCGCTGAGGCACACCCACGATGATTCCCACAGACGTTCCCATGGCCGGGGGAAACTCCAGACTCGGGATGGACCAGTGCTTCCCAACCTTTTTTGTCATCTGTGCCCCAACAGGCCTGTCAGACGAACCAGCAGCACCTGTCTCAGTTTCTGCACCACTTTCAGCTTCTCGATTTCAACCCGCTGCTTTTATCCACCTGCTTAGACGCCTCTGCAAACTGGTTTCAAGCACTGCAACATATTCGTTCTTTACAATTCTATCTTTTAAAATGAGGCAGCCACACAAGCCCCTCCCGGGTAGTGCCTCCTGAATCACCGCCATAGTCCACATGGATTACTTTACTTCATCAATTAGTGGCTCAGGCCTTTAAACTTCAGCGATGCGTTACATCCTAACTGTATCCCCTTCCATGTGGGATCATCTCAGAAAAGCCCCGATGAGAGACGCAGATTTATTGCGCGAGGATTAGAAAAAACACAACCAATCCCGACAAATACAGCGACGGAAACAAAGCGTGCTGATTCCGCGGAGGGCTCGGGTAGATCTTGCTGAGAGCTGGCGTCTATTGTCTCCCCCCGGATCTTCAGACGCTCTCACAGCTGTGATTCACATGACTGTGTTGACACGAGAGCGAGGGCGAGGTGTCCTGTTACCTTTTCCCGTGTCCCATCACTCAGGGCCCTGAAGTCTGTTTGGACATGCCCTTTCCAGCACCTCTCAGCCCCGCAACGCCTTCTACCTGCCTTCAAAAGAACCACTCTTCCTTCAAGTCTCACACTTCAAGGGAGCCGTGGAAGGACGCAGCAATTTGCTTTGTTGTCGTCAGCGCGAATATGTATTAGATTTCCCAGAATGCACGCTCTCCGCACGGAATCGAAAACATCTCGATAGAGTCAGACGAACCTTCTGCCTGCTCAGTACATCTCTGGTTTTCAACCTGTAGCGTTAAATTATCACCTGTCACTCTTGTAAAAAATAAAATATTCAAGCTGGATGCTGCGGCGTGATGTAACCCTGCAGCTGTGACAGTGTGAAGCGGGGACAGGTTGTATTCTCCAGAGGAAGCCACGTCAAAGCACGTTAAAGAGCAAAACATTCAAAATCCTTGCACCAGAACTGTCAGCTATTAGAAACACTGTGATTTGAAAATGACCCAGCCGGACCTCCAAAAAACAGACACGTTAAATACTAAAAATCCTCCTGATTTTCTTTTTGCACACAATAAACGCAGCACTTATCACACTGTAGCCGTGATAAAGAGAAAAAAAGAAAAAGGAGAGTTTCTTGTAGGCAGAAATAAAGACATTTCTACACTGATAAAGGATCCCTCAGTTCCCAACATCAGCCGGTTTAACAGCTGCCAGAGGAGATATTTAACTATATCTATTACCGATCTTCCTCCGTGTGCGCTGAGCTGTGGAGCAGCTGAATTGCTATTAACAGCTCCCTCTTGCCGTTTCCTGTGCAAACATTGATTGAATAAAATCAGAGATGGGCAGTAATCGCTTCCTCTCTGCATACTGTCGGTCTCAGAGCTAAACCCGGGATTATGCAGCAGCCCTAAGCCCTGACCACTCACGCTGTGTGATAGGATTAAAGCGGAAACTTTTGTACCTGTGAAACATTATCCTTCCAGGTCCCGCATTACAGAGGCCTGTGAAACAGACACCTCCAGCTGCAGGGCAGGGGGGGCATCCAGCCCCGTAAAGTCCACCGTGGTGGGGGACGGGGGGAAGGGGTCCGGTCTTCCTCCACCTCTGGGAGTCGATTTCATATTATTGACACCTGAACAGTGGCGGAGGAAGTGTTCAGGTCCTTTGTATAAGAAAGTACCACATTTAAAACGCCACTCAAGTAAATGACAAATTAAAAATACACAAAGTATTGAAATATTATTGTTTAAATTGTGCATAAAAGCTTTTGTATTTGGTTGAGTTAGGGCTCATTTTAAACTATTTTGCATAGTTTTGTCCAACCAACACTCTTCTATTAGCACAACTTAAATAAATGCATCATTACAAGATGAGAAAAATTGAATTTGTTGATTTAAATAAACCCTTTAGGTTACAAACATTATTCAGTGAGTTGGGTTGACGTAATAAACTTAATTTTATTTGTGATTTAAACCTTAAAGTTCTGCGTTTCTTGATTTAAAATTAAATTCTTAACTTAATAAAATGTGCTTGATAGCTTGAATTTTTCTTCTATCTTAACGTGCCTGGACAATGTCAGACAGTCTGGTTAATAAAAACACCTTTAATTGTTGAGGAAGAGCTGATTCCTCTGATTCAGTGTAGTTTGTTAGTTAAACAGGATTTTGTTAGAAGTTGTCATAATTCAAAAACACTGATATGCAAACAGTTGTGTTCATTTTTAGAGTGCAAACCTCAAAATCATTTTAAAAACATTCAAATTACAACAGCAATCAAAAGAAAAAAACAGCAAATCTGCACGTTTGTGAAGCTGAAAACATGTTTTAAATGGAAAAAAATGACTGAAATAATCAGTGAACTGGCTGCCGATTAGTTTTCTCTCAACAGATAATTGATTCACCAACTAAGCATCTCAGTTTTAAATTATTTTGTAGTGTGATTAATAATAACAAAGCTTCACATTTTATAAGCTCATCACATGTTTTGGGCAAAAAAATTAACTATTGTAATGAATTAATCATTTGCAAAGAAAAAGAAAAAAAAGAATAATGTGGAAAGTCTAATATTTCCTTCTAAAGTTTAAGCAAGAGGTATCATATACTTAATTACATTCCACCACTGTGACTGAGAGCTAATTGTGGGTGCATATATGTAGGATGTAGAGCCAATATTGTGCATTTACAAAACAAAAATCTAAAAAAATAAAATAAAAATTCAGCGATGCCAGGACGACATAAAAATTCCAAACACTCCTCAGTGAAATAGCCGAACCTGTCAACCAGAAAAATCCAGTCATGCCCCGAAGGTTTTTTATTTGATGTCCGTATTACGAGTGGGCGACCTTTTCCCTCCACTGTGGCAGGAGGACAGGTGTGTGTCTCACAAGGTGTGCCATCTTTTTATTATTTTTTTCCATTCTGTGAGGTAATGTGAGCGTTTATGGCATTATTGATCTGTCCTGACATAACACCTTATCACCAGCTCAGATATGTCATATTTTCCATGTTTACACTGAGACACTATCTGTTATCTTCTTGTGACTTCATTGGCTCGCACGTAATTCAGAGTTTTGTAGGAAAGATGTAGAACAAAAAGAGTAAAAGGCAGTTGTGTGAATGTCAAAGGATTGATTGTTTAAGGTCTATGAATGCTAAATCATTCCTTTAAATGCAACGCTGCATTTTATCCGTCTGTGCAGAAAGGCAAACGATTGTACAATATGACAAATACCAGTGAAAACCGTCCTCCTCGGGTCTCACGCTGTGTGATATCGGAAGGCAGGCAGGCAGGTTGCTTACTTATCTCCGTCATTAATCTTAATTTGTCAGTGAAGGCTGAGGTGAAGGCGGAGGGCCGGCCAGAAGGAGGAGGAGGGCTAAAAGGTAATTGCACCCCTGCTGCTCCATTATGGTGTCATTCCTCTGTTAACAGAAGATAAGATCTTCTCCAAACCACCTGAAGCCAATTCTCCACTTTACCTGGCTGGAACAGAGAGACAGAGGGGAAAAAAAAGACAGAGAGGGGATCTGGCTTAGTTTCACAACCACCCGTGATTGAGACAAACTGATGTGTGCAGAATTTTACTGGCCGATCCGTCTGTGTGGTTAAAGAAAGAAGAAATGATGCCTCACAGTGATGGATGGATGGAAGCCGAGCACTTTCTCTGCCCCATGCCGCTTGACACGGCTGCTGATTAATGTGGTCCTGATTGGCAGGTGTGATGTATATCAGCGGGTTGGGACACAGTTAACCCGGTGACACAGCACACGAATGGCTTCCTTTTGACCTGGACGCAGAGAGAAGCAGCTCACATCAGCAACCGTCAGCCTCAGAGGGGGAGACGGTTAACTGATGGTGCTGCTGGATACGAACCACCAGAAGAAAAGTGGGAAAATATGTTAGTTTTACTAGATTAAAACTAAATAATTCACAGGTTTTCATGTCACATTACAGACTATGTTAAGTACAGGAGCTGTGTGTGACCTTGAATAGAT